CGCACGGTGCAGCCACGATGGAAGGGGGTGCGTACGGAGCGGGCAAAGCCGGGGGCGCCTTCGACCCTTACACCCTGGTGCGGCAGCCACACACCATCCTGCGCGTCGTGTCTTGGGTAAGGACGCGCTGGGGCGCGGGGCGCGGGGGACCGGCGCGACCTCACCTGGCCGGGGCGGCCCTGCCGGTGCAACGGATCCCGGCCGCACGCTGCTTCCCCGGCCCCTGCCGCCGGAGTTCCTCAACCCCATCGCCGTGACCTTCCAGCCTGTCGCCGCTTTGCAGCTAGCGGCTCGGCTCGCGCGCGTCCGTGGGGACGGAGCCCGAGTTCAAGGCCGCCTTTTGGGGGGCGCGGATTAGGGTGTGGATCTTCTCGCTAGGGCGCACCGCCGCACCTGCCACGCGCGTTCGGGGCGAGGACCTGGAACCAGGTTTTGTTGCTCACCCCGCACGCTGCGGAGCCCTGAGTCTGGAGCTGGATACCTGGGTTCCGCCAAGACCCGCATCTGCTTCGCCGCGTGACCTTGGGCAGGGAACCACCCAAGAAAAGATGAGGGAAACGAGGGATTCAGTGCCGAGCTGGGTGGGGAGCGTCACTTCTTCTGTCATGCCTTAGTTTCTCGATTTATAGGGGTGGGAGGAGCCTCCTTGAGGCCCCCTTGGGCTCTGACATTTTATGAATCGGCAGTACTTCCACCCCCAACCCCAGCATACACCTGAGTGGCCACCTAGGTGTTGTCTAGAGAAAGGTCCCTTCCATGCAATGGAGAGCAGGGAGATTGGTCTGTCGGTTGCAGGAGGACCCCAAGAGCTGAGTGGTGGTGGTGAAGCAAAAACAGCTTGAAGGGAGAGGATTTGGGGGCTTTGCACCCGAGGAAGAGGAGGCCTGTGTCCTCTGGGTTTGGCTGGCTTCGTGGAAGAGGGTTTTGCCTCTGCAGATCTGGGGCTCACTCCTGAAGGGCTAAGACCAGAAGAGCCTGGATTGGTGACACAGGTCAGGGACCCGTGGGGGTTGAGATTGAAGTCAGCTGTGACCTAGGCTTGCTGAGGTGCCCTTCTTTCCTGGGTTTTCAGGGCCATATCAGGATCTGATGGGTGGGATGGCTTGGGATTTATTCTGGTCTTAGGAAATGTTTAAATGCCCTCCTTTATGGGGAGCCTTGTTTCCGGCACTCTTTAGGGCCGCGCAGCCCAGATATATCCATGAGGATTTGTGACACTGAATTTATTTATTCCTGGCACTCCCTAAGTTGCAGAAGTCCCTCCCTACAGGCCCCTGGGTAAAGTGGGAATCCTGGTCAGGTGGGTTGACTTGTGTGCTGGCTGCTTCCTCTGACCTCTCCGGGGCACCTGGCTGGGAGGTGGGGCAGCACAGGCTTTGTGAGGGGGCGTGGGCGATTCTTGTGCTTGGGTCATTTCTACCCGCGATGGCTTCATTTAGCAAAGCTTTATTGAGTCTGCCAGGCCCAGAGGGAAGGCAGCATGACTCAGGCTTAGCCCTGACGCCCAGGGAGCCCACAGTCCCACTGGGGAGGGAGCCAGGACAGGGTCTCCCTGCTGAGGAATTGAGGTCCTTCATAGAGGTGATGTCACGTTGGGTCTGGTGGGATGCACAGGGCTTGCACTCGGATTACGTTGGGGTAAAAGGAGGACATGCTGAGCAGGAGGGGGAAAAGTAATTAGGTCCAGCACCCACTCACTGATCTTAAGAATGGCAGGCACGCATTCAAATCCAAGTCTTCCTGTCCAAAGGACTGGATTTCTGCTCCAGGGGAGATTGCAAATCCTGTAGTTTCTAAATTGGGTGATCAAGTCCAACTCTGGCCCAAAGGCTTTCATGTTTTTAAAATCTAGATAAAAAGCCTTGATCCTGGGTGGTGGCGGCACATACCTTTAATCCCAGCACTCTGGAAGCAGAGGCAGGTGGATCCAGCCTGGTCTACAGAGTGAGTTCCAGGACAGCCAGGGCTACACAGAGAAACATGCTCCCCACCCCCCACCCCCAAAAAAAGCTTTGAGTGAGTGACCCATGCCCGTAACCTCAGTATGTTGAGGCAGGAGGATCAAGAGTTCAAGGCTAGCCTCAATTACATAGCAAGTTGGAGCCAGCCTGGGCTACATGAGACTGTCTAAAAAGAAGATAAAGACTCCCCCTCCCACCTGATCATTAAAGTAGTACCTGCTGGTTATTGGAAAGCACAAAAATCACAGTCGGTGATGGGACAACATGGGATACGTCATTCCACTGAAGTACACCCTAGAAAGGGTGAGGATGGGGCTGGGGGTGTGGTTAGCGGCAGACCACTTGCCTAGCAAGTGTAAGGCCCTGGTCTCCGACCTCGGTCCTGGGGGAAAAGGAAAAGAAAGGAGATCGAGCGGGGTAAATTTCACGTCATGCTGTGTTGTTTCCATCCCATCTTTTTGAATAGTCTGTGATATGTAGAGACATCTTTTTGTTTTTTTTGGTTTTTCGAGCACATTCAGGAGTGGGTCCCCAATGTCCTCTCTGCTCTACTGTGGGGTCTGGCAGCCCCAGACTTCTCCATGGAGTTAAAGGAACCTGCACTCTGGGTCTCAGGTGACCGATTTGTTCAGGTTTGCTGGAACTTTCCCGGCTTTAGCATAGCCACAGATTCCCAGGCCATGCAGTCGCGTATAGGCTGGGGCCACTGGTACCTACCCAGGACTCCGCCATAGCCATGGTCCCGGCACACAGACGGGTGGGTTTGTAGAGGTTCTACCACCACGGTCACTTTTTCTGTTGTTTTTCCAAAAGATGGCCTCAGACCCTTACCGTACAAGCTTTGGGGCCTCACTCAGCCTCAAGCTCGTGGACCTTGAGTCCCTGGGGCCCCTTGACTCCAATGGGACAGAAGAAGCAGGGCTTCCCGGAACCCACTTGTCCCTCGACTGAAACTGTCTCTCCTGTCACTCCTCCCCCCAGGCTGGGCAAGGCCAGACCGCACTTGATGGGGAAGGCTGGGTTGGGACATTGTCCAGGGCAACGGCAAGCTGTTGCCTCCATCTGCTTTTTACTTACTTATTTATTTTATTTTTTTTAAAAGACAGGGTCTTTTATAGCTCAAGCTGGCCTCAAACTTGATATGTAGCTGAGGATAACCTTGAACTGATTCTCCTGCCTCCACCTCCCTCT